AAATGTGGACATAAAATGGGGGGGGGGGGCAAATATATGTGCATGTTAACATAGGGCTGGGCAATTGATCAAATTTTATTTTCGATTACAATTTTGGCCTCCAACGATTTTAAAAACAAGATCATGGAGAGAAAACGATTATTGTGTGGCGTTCTGTTTCACAACAAATTTCAGCCCCCCCACCAAAAGCCATCTGACATTATCTTTCCCTGCTAACATATCTTTAAATATATATTGTGTATAACGGGAATAACTACATGGACACAATGATTTTTGTTTTGAAATCTTTGAGAAATCCTGCTGAATAATCGTGATCTCAGTATTGATCAAAATAATCGTTTCCACAGAGGAGCAGCACAGTGCAGCATCTCATTTTCATAAGTGTTTTACTTGCAGTGGAATCCATGTTCTCAGCGATGTGTGAGTGCCAGGCGCTGCACCCCGACCCAGAGGACGACGACTCCGACAACGACTTCGAAGGAGAGGAGTATGACGTGGAGGAGGCAGGTGAGGAAAAACAAATACACAAAAACATACACACACACACACACACACACACTAACACCCCAACAGTACGATATGAAATGCTGAAGACTGAATTGAAAATGTTGACTTTTATTTATTTTCTCCTTATGTCTGTTTATCTGTCTCCCCCTGGTTCTCTGGACTGGTTGCAGAGGCAGGTAAGACGTCAAGCATTCACCGCTGCACATTTACACAAATGAATTCTTCTCCTGAAGCTTTTTACTTTGGGAGTAGTAGAGTAACATTTTGTGTCTGCTGAGTATCAAAACAATCAAGAAATGGACAGCTGGTACTGAAGGCCTTTCCAGATTCAGTGCCTCTAGTTTTATGGCGGTAAACTGGCAGAAACTGTGCAGTAACACTGTTACAATAATGTTACCTCCTATTTATGCTGGCAGTCACTCCCAGTCTGGGAGCAGCCATCCTGATGTGGGAGTGCTATGAATATTCTTGTCTCAGTTCAGCTTCAGTGCATTCACCACCTGACAGACTGACAGTTGTCATAATATTGTATAGATACTTTATATGGGGTGAATATCATCCATGCTAAATGCTAAATAGGGTTCAAGTGAAGCTTTACTTAATATTCAACATCAAGCACATGGCTGCCGTTACATCACCATCTCTCTCCTCCACCACCCAGAGCACGGCCATGCCGACATCCCGACCTTCTACACCTGTGACGAGGGGCTGTCGGCGCTCACGCAGGAGGGCCAGGCCACGCTGGAGAGGCTGGAGGGGATGCTAGCCCAGAGTGTTGCTCAGCAGTACCACATGGCTGGGGTGCGAACTGAAGAGAGCAAAGCCGAATTTGAAGGTTTGAGACACATATTCACACACACACACACTCAAGTTTTCTGTGAGTTCACTCAGACATGCGGAGCATTTAATCTGAATGCTGCTTCTCCATGTTTAGTTTTGACTCTGGGAGCAGTTAGCAGACACGTCCCAGACGACCTGAGAGCTCAGGATGGTTCACAACAGAGCAGCAGATCGAAATCTTATCTAATACGATCTTATCTGTTCTGATTTTAAAAAAGTGTTTTGGCCCTCAAAAAAACCAACAGTAGAATTTTTAATGTCGATGCAGCACAAACAGGAAGCAAGAGTGAAGGTCTGAGTACTGGAGTGGCCCTTAGTAGAGCGCATGCCTACGCAGAGGTCAAACAATCCTACACTTGTCTGTGAGATCTGGACTATTATCTGGATCTGCAATGATGCATTGTTCATATATATTTCTATGAAGAAAATAATTTTAAAAAATGAAGACAGTTGAAGCTGTGTTGTGTTGTGTTGCACACATCTGCAGAGAAAAGTAAAACCACAACAGCTCACTTTACAAGAAATTTCTTATGGGATGTTAAAATAACTGTGTGAAGACTGGCTTTTAAAATCTGTTTTAGAAGGTAACGTCACCTGTACTAAAATATTTATGGATGATATTTTGTAGATTGTGGACTCGTTTGTTAATTGGTCAGTGTGTTTGTTGTTGTTGACAGACGGTATGGAGGTGGATGCAGCAGCGATGGAGGCCGGTCAGTTTGAGGATGCAGACGTCGAGCACTGGTAAGTCTCACTCAACCAGCACTTTTCAAATGTGACGATATCCAACAAAGACCATCAGTTTATCCACCGTCTTTACAACCACAATGCTGCTGGGAGTTGTCACGGTTACCCATGATGTCCACTGGCTGTGATGTTACATCTCTGTCATGGTGACAGGAGTGTTTTTTGTTAGACATATTTTGTGATTTACAAGTGGTTGCTTTATTAATTTTGGCACCTGAGGTTTAGTCGTCTTCTTTTGATAAAAATGTCTTTTAGTTTCAGTCAATTATATAGATTTTTGTTAGTTTTAGTCACATGTTTCTGTCACGTCATGTTTCTCATTAGGGCAGAACTCTAATAGTCGACCAAACATTAGACGAAGAGAAGAGTCACAGAAAGAAAATCAAACTCCACAGGAACTGGCGACACTGAGGCTACATCCTCACTAATGCATTTTCATTTCAAAACGAAATTTTTAAAATGAAATCGGTCCATATCAGAAATAATCTCTGTCAAGACTTACACACCTGAAAATACACATCACATGACCATTCACATACACTGGGCACGCACATGCCGGGGTAAACAGGAAGCAGATTGTCTTCTCTGCACTTGGATATAAGTTGCAGAAAATACAATGAACTAGTAACAGCAAAGACAGCTGTAGCGTTAAAATACAGAATTTAACTGAGCAACAGCTGCTAGCAAAGACAACAAGGACAGTAACATTTATAATTTGTTATCCATGTTGCTTTCACCACTAGTAGTTGAGGCTGATAAGACCCAATCAGGGAGCGACCGTGGCTGTTTACATCATCGTGTAGAGAAACGTTTGAGTGTGGATGTTGCCTCAGTCACTCAGTTAGTCATGGACTCGTTTACGCAGCTGGTCCCTGCAATTATTAGAAAGTAATGTTGCCTAACTGGGCAGATTAAGTAATGATGAAAATAATGAACAGGACATAGAGATGTAGTATGATGAACAGCAGCAACCACACACACTGCTTTCTGCAGCCCTGCAGAAGCTCTTAGCTCTTGATTAAACACACTTTTTTTCTGTTTTTCTGCTGTATGTCCCAAACATTCATATTTTCATAAAACATTTATAAAAAAAAACAGCTTTCACAAAATCCTCCTGTGCCTATCTGTGACTGGACAAATAAAAACAAAAACACAGTCGGCATATCTTCACACTCTGTTCCATCTTTTCTTATTTACCAACATTAAAACTTCATTTGAAAGAAGACTGTCTGTCTGTTGTGTGCAGCCTGGTTCATTCACATGTTGTCTGATTCTTCTGTAGATGGATGTCATCTCAGCAGCCAATCGAAGCACTGGAACTGCATCATGGGATTGGAGAAGAAGACCGTGAGAATTCCTTAAGGCTATCAGCACTTGTACTTTCTTCCTGTTCTCTCTGTCAAACAAACCTTTTCTCACGTGCTTAGTCATCTCAGTAGTCCTCTGTAGCTTCCTACATTGTCTTTATTTTGTGTCGCGTTGGAGCTCACATAATGTTGCATTGTTTTGCTGGTTTTCTGCTCATCCTCCACCTCTGTTGATTTGTCCAGGTGTTATGAACAATGTTTGCTGTGCTGCTCTTCTGTGATGCAACCAAGTCAGCTACAGGAGACTATTGAGATGCAGCCCGTAATGTCCAGATCCTGTTGTTGACTGTAAAAACAAAATAACACTTTTCTGTTTCTGTTTTGTACTTAAAGACTTTAATATGTGATCCTCCTGCTGAGGAGAGTTAATGTCTTTGTATCGATTTGTCAATAAATGCATAGTTTTTGTATGTTGAGTTTCTTGGCTTATTTGAACTGGTTCATGGTCTTTTTTTAGCTACCTCCTGTATTTAACAAAACTGTTTACTGAAGCTTTAAAAACCGCTCACACACAGGATCACAGCAGCCGCTTCGCTTGCCAAAATGTTGATGTTCCAACCTGTGAGTACTCAGTAGTCATTACTACACAATTACTACTTTATTACATGAGTGAGACCATACCCATCTTTGAACTTGGCCTCCAGTTTAAGCTCAACTATTCACCTGTAAAGCTTCATGACTATCTGTCACAGCTGTGACGCCATCACTGTGACAAAAGCTGTCCACAGACTAACACTTGTGAGCCAAAGTCCTCACAACCACATCTGTGGTAGTTCCTGCTACCGTAGGACAATGATGACACACACACACACACACTAACACACACACACACAAACAGACTCATCTTGGATGCAGCAGCAGAGTGACTCACAGGCCGAACATGAACAAATGTAAAGTATGTATACATTTCTAAAAAGAAATGTGAAGTATTTGGTTAAATAATCTAGATTTGTTTTGGTTGTCTGAAGGTGAAATGCTGAGTTGGCTTTTTAAAGAGAATTTCTTTTGATGAGGTTTACATTGAGTCTGTGGCGGCTGAAACAGACTTATACACTTTGTGTAAAGTGATTATTCTGAAATGTTCCCTTTTTAAAATTTGTGAATTACCATGTGATCATCTTTGCTGCTGTTGCTGTCTAGTGTAAATCCACAGGCTGGACACCAGGGCTGCAACTAACAATTATCTCTTTTTTTATTAATCTGTCAATTATTTTTTACAGTTAATCACTTCATTGTTTAGTCTATGAAGTGAAAACAGTGAAAAATACTAATCTCATTGATTTACATTTTAAGAATAACTTTTTTGTCCAGCCAGCAGATAAGATATTCCATTTCCAATCATATCAAATAAATACTCACATTTTGATATAAAATGAATATAAGTAAGTAAATAAATTATCAAAATAGTTGACGATGAATCTTCTGTTGATTGGCTAATCAAGTAGTAATTTCTGCCCTACTGGGCACCATTTAGACACTAAAATAAACCAAACAATCAATGAGTTAGTTAATTAATTATTCAACAGTTTTAATCAGAGGGTTTTACAGAGAATAAAAGGTACCAATTACATCTGTGAAAAACAAACTGACGTATGTACCTACACTGCACTGTGCTTCATGTTAAGTATAAACATGAATTATATACAAAGCACTTTGTAACTTAGTTAAGTAAAGTGCTACTCAAAGTTTTATTATTATTATACATCAACTTTTCATGATTCATTTTCCAGTTAATTCATTAATGGATTAGTTTAAATAAACGTTTATATTACACAAAAATAATACTTGGCTCAATATAGTACTGCAACTACAAAACTTGTACGCAGGTTCTGAAATGACCAACATAATAGGAAATTAAATGTCAGTGTGTTTAAAGCAGCTGTGAGGATCCAGTCAGGACTGTAAAGAGTTGTTGATATTCCAGTGGTGATACTGGCTCTGAGGTGAGGATCAACCACCAACCACCTCTATTGTAAAAACTCATTTTGCAGCTGTTAAGTAAAAACTTTATTTCTTTATCTATTTCTGACTGACCTGTTTAGAAAAAAAACAAACACTAAAATTAGTGTCTTTATCTTCCTACATGTGCTCTTGAGGTGAAATCATCCACTATTTGGTTAATCAATCAAAAAAAAGCCTACAGGTTTAAGTAAAAAGTGCATATCAGTGTTGTTCTTTTTCAGCCACAGACGGTGACTGAAACCAGCAGCAGGTTCACACTCAGTCCGTCCTCGTGTGCTCGGAGTGAAACGCCACCCTGCGACGCTCAGGTCCTCTTCTTGGTCTCCAGGGGGAGGTGGAGAGACGGTGATTTCCCTGACAGCAGAGGGGCGATTTTATCAAACAGCAGCACTGAGCTCATCATGCCTGCAACAGCAAGAACAGAAACGAGGAGGTGAAGGAGAGGAACAAGTGAGCATCGTTTTAAGATTCAATTTGCTTTAAGAAACAAGCTCTCAGAATTTGACAGAATTTGGCAGCAAATCATAAAGAACTTTGCAGCTTAAAAATATAACAATCAACCTTTTACACCTTTATAATATTTCTTTATCATACAAAGGTGAGAGAATGCAAATAAGTGAAGATAGACATGGATTGAAAAACATTTTTCGTCGGTCGGCTGACAGATCTTTTGATAGAAGAAGATAGAAATGGAGTAGAAGAAATAAGAAAATACTCAAGTACTTCAACATTGTAATTAAGCACAGTACTTAAACAACTCTCCACGCACTCCGTGAATCCAGATTTACCTCTGTGTTCATACTGATGTATTTATTATAACAAATGATGTATATGATATAACCTAGAGAGACATTTGATGAGCTTGTTCCAGCTGCCGTCAAAGTGAAAGTGTTTGTGTACATGAAACAAATGAATCATGAGAATTGAACATTTAAGCAGCTTATCAGATTTGTGTCAACACTTTCGACACAGTTGACTGACTGACTGCCAGAAAACAGACAGTGACACACACTGAAACACAAAACTGTCCACATATCTTAGGCCACTGCACACATGGGAATGTGGTTTCATTTTTTGTGTGTAAGTCAACACGTACAGGAAACTACAAACAAGACTGCGTTTGCTCAACCTTCAATTAACTTACATAAAGTTGATATACAGTGATATTACATCACATGTTTTATGGCGTTTAGTCTATAATTTAAAAAATGTAGGTTTTTAATTCGTTTACACAGAAACTACACATGAGATGGAAACATGAGGAGACAGGCATTCTGGAGAGCAGTGAAAGACGAAGTGTTCCATGTGATTGGACAGGATTTACAGTTACCACCCTTTTCAGTGCAAAAACTAACCTTAATACACAACTAAATGGAATATTGTTAAATTTAGAAAGACAATCCCATAAGCCTGCAGAACACTGACATCATCACCTTTTATTAAGTTATCTTTTGGGGTGTGTTTATGCCTTTATGTGCCAGTGACAGTGGAGGCAGACAGGAAATACAGAGAGAGGGAGAGGGAGAGAGAGAGAGAGAACTGGCTGGGAGACGAAGTGGGGATCTACTGCTCAGGGCTTTGTGCACCCATATACCCCCTAACCACTCGTCCATCGGATCACACTGTATCATCACCTTTTAAATTGATAGGGCGAACTTATTTAACCTTTTATGTAATTAACCTTTATTTATTCAGGTGAATCCCATTGAGATAAAAAAAACCCTTTGTCAAGAGAGAGCTGAATGTACATAAAAAACAGACAATCCATAAACTGAATTTACAATACAATTTAAATAACAAACAATAAAATTATAAAATTGTAATAAAAAATGCCAAGATTATAAAACACAGCCAGCAGCCTCACCAGTTAGAACGACTGCATTCTGTTTTGGGAAGGTTTAAAATCTTGTTTCTAAAATGTGGATAACTTATAAAACTATCCATTTGAAAGTGCTGTGTAGCTTATTCCATGTGTCTGGGGCATCCAAATGTAGCCTTCCCAAATTGAGAGTTAACCTTAAGTTACCTGGAGTGTTAGCCGATCATGTGACAGGTTTGGTGCGTACCAACTGATTTGACCAAGAGAGACGTGATATACGATGGTAATTTCCCAATAAGGGCTTTGTAAATAAAAAATTACCAAAGCATGTCACGTCTTTCTGATAGAGACCTTCTTGTATAGGGTGCAATGATGGGAACCATAAACATCAGCAGTAATAAAACAGAGGGCAGAATGGGTCGCTGCATCCAGCGGTTTGGGGATAGAAGGAACTACATGTCTATAAATCAAATCGCCACATCTAAAACTGACAGGAAAACTGTTTCAGTGATCCTTTTTCTTGTTGCTTATATACATCTTGCAGTAATGGAGAAACACTATCATTTATTTCATCATGTTTGTGTCCACTGGATGAATCCAACGTCCGAAATTCACTCTCCTTTTGTTCTTTTAGTTTTTGGTTTCTATCACTCTCTCCTGACGGAAACATCTGTCTCTTTAGCTGCTAAATGCTGCACTGTGTTCATATATATTTACATATAAAACATATTGTGAGTTTATACATTTCAATCAAACTATCTAACACAATATGAAGCAGTTAGAATTAACTGCACCTCGAACAACTGCAACAGAAAAGTACTGCTTACATGTTCCAATCTCATAGTGTAACACTGACAGGGGCCATTCTGCTTAATGAGTACCTTTACTTTTGATACTTAATTAATTTTGCTTCTAATACTTCTGTACTTGAACTTAAGTAAAAGACACTGTGCAGGCTGTTGGTGAGAATATTTTGTACCTTACATTATTCCCCAGAGCAGACCAGAAAAAAATATTTAACCTTTTTAAATTAAACTTTTTGATGCCTTTGAGGGTCTTTCTTATTTAAAGAAACTTTTTTTTTTTTTTTTTTTTTACAGACTTTTCAGGAGCTGCAGATCCCCTGATATTAGTGCACATCACTGAGTCTTACCCAGCAGCGGGCCCAGCCAGTAGACCAGGCAGTACTCCAGGAAGGAGTTCCCACTGCAGGGGAACTGTGTGGAGAAGGCCAAGGCAGGGTTAAACACTGCTCCTGTCATACTGCCACCTGGACACACACACACACACACACACACACACACACACACACACACACACACACACACACACACACACACACACACACACACACACACTTGTATTAGTGAACTTAGAAGGACTAAGATTGTGACCTGCTCAGTATTTGATGTTCACTGAGTTCAATCAACTGGAACATGTAATAAGACAAGTGACTACATACTAATTCTATACACATTTGCCTCAAGAAGTGTGTTCACACTGAAAAAGATAGAAAAACTAGTTACTCTCAGAGGAGTCAATATGTGGAGTAAATTTACTTTTTACCAAAACAGAGATTTTAACATTAATTTCCTATATACTAAGTTCCAAAAATGTAGCAAGATTATTCTGTTATTATTCTCTAGTAAAGAAATGATGCGATATAGAGAAAATAGTTTGTTAACACTATTTGGATAGTCCATCTACAGAGAGTTTACAGAGTATTTGTAACATTTCAAAAGGCTTTTAGTAGAGATTTAATGATTCACTGTTTCAAGGCCAGAGATTAATGAAATGTTACAAATACTCTGTAAACTGTGTGTAGGTGACCTCTCCACATTATGTGTAACCAGTAGTTTTAATCAGATTCTCCTGAGGAACTGTTGCTGACATTTGCTGAGTTCACTTGACAGATTATCGACTACAGCTGAAAAAGCTGCAATAAGTCAAACCGTTGATAAGCTCAGGAAATCCTGCCACAGATGAGATCAGCTGCTCGTCAGATGAGTTCTGAGAAGAAAGATGTCTCTGTCTACAGACAGCGTGCCGCAGACTCTCCTCTATGAGACACAGGAAGCTTTAGAAACCAGTCTATGTACTCTGAGTTTGTGATTGGCCGGTTATCTTCATCTTCACTGACATACTGTACGGCTGTTTGTAGTTCACATATTTTGTTTATTGTGAGTGTCAGATGGGTCAAGTATAAGGCCAGCTTCATGTCTTCATTCTTTTGGGCATCAGTAACATTTAATCTACATACATTTGCTGCAGCTATAGTAACCTAGGCTGTACACCTACACCACAAACAGACACACTGATGATCACACACTAAAGGCCCACTTACATTAGCCCACGTGGAATAACACATCTCACATCCCATACAAACATGTAACATATGACATATGTCCCTATATCAAGAGTGCTGTTTCCATATATGTCACTTTTAAGAGGATATATTATTACCACATATATACATCCTCTGGATATGTGAAGATATACGTTTACCCCTAGTAAAATTTGTATACCACATATATTAAAAATATCTATGAGGAATTTTTATATGGTGTAACATGTTGTGACCAAATATGTGAATGATATATATTTAATTTATATATACAAGTTTACTTAAACAACATACATATAAAAAGTCTATATGCTCATACAGTATATGTTTTTTTTATTATTATTATTAATTTCTCATTCATTTTAAACATGTCAATCTTCACATTCTGGGAAAGTGGTCTCAGACTTTTGGACTCTACAATATCAACATATATTGACAGGCTTGGTGATGGATATATATTTACTGTATGTAACATATGTCTTCAGTACAAGTATACATAGATAAAAATACATATTTGTATGGGCTATATATGTCAATATAGGAAATAGTTAAAATAGTTAAATAGTTAAATAGTTAAATAGTTTTCATATATAATTTTTACATATACAGTATGTTTTTAGTTCATATGCAAATATATTTCATATAAGGAAAATCAATATAGTACATTTGTTCATGGGACTTTTTTTACTCAATTATGCTGCATGCAATTAAAGACCTGCTAAAGTGCAAATGAGCAAGATAGTAAATCTCAGTAGCCTGACCTCTGACCTCACATAATCTCATCAGTATAATTAGATAAGTTTTCATGCTGTGAAAACACAATGATCCACTTTATTCACATGACGCTCAGAGAAACAACTCAGATGTCTTACCTGCATAAACCACCGTTGCGGTGACCGCAGCTACGGCGTGCACGCGGTATTTCTCCTCCACTGATCGCGTGTGCGTGATGGCAGTCTGTACCGCAAAGGCGCACGCGAGTTCCACGGCGGTGGCCTTCGGCAGCGGCGCGTGAATGGGGCTGACGCACCGGTAACCGAGCAGCTTATGCCGCACGTGCAGTCTGGACAACCCGACACCCCAGATCACCGGCACTGCGGTGCGCGAAGCGGCGGCCGCAGCGAACTGGCACGCGATCCGCCGCAGGGCGCACCCACTCGAGATCCTCGCTTGGTACGCGTGCTCGAGCGCGCCGGAGGGGTTGCAGATGGCCCCGCTGAAGGTGAGCCCGTGCACCACGGACGCCAGGTAAGTCAAAGTGAGCGCGAGTCGAGGGTCGATCCCGCCCACCTCGGACAGCAACCTGAGCTCGTGCGTGCAGCAGCACAACTGAAAGGTGGACACGAGCTCTACCGCGTAAACAGAGAGCCCGGTGCCCGCGAGGGTCCTGGTCAACAACCTGCGGGTCACGTCACTCAGCCCGACGATCCCCGCGAGCACCAACAGAGACACCGCCACGTCTGCAGTCATGTCCTAGTTGGTCTGCGCTCTCAGTCGGAGGCTGTCAGCGTCTGTGAGCGTCGAGCCGCTGATGCCTCCTCTGCGGCTTCTGGCCTCTCTCTCTCTCCCGGTGGATGTCGGATGGAAGCCTCGGCTGTGCTCGGCTTCGGCTTCCAGGAGGATGCGGTGTCCAACCAGGAGAAAATGAGCTTCAGTCACAGTAGCTCACATGGTGCGGAAGTGGCTGAGCTTCGCAGTTCTCCTCCTCCTCTCACCTCTCTGCTCTGCTGGTATTGATGTTCCTCTGCCATCCTCTGCTCCACTGTCGCTGTTAAAAAATGTAAAAAAAAATATATATGCGAGATACATGTCAAGTACTAGGATGTATCTAAAAGAGAAAAGAAGGTGAGAGAGAGAAAATACATCAGCTGTGGAGTAGTAAAAGTAATTTCAATCAGTCATTTGCAGCAGTTTACACTGAACTAAGATTTGCAACTCTGAGATCAGTCTGTTTTATTGTAAATTATAAGTATTATATGATACAGTTATAAATGCTTTAATGCACGCACAATGTTTCTTATAGGCTATATGATCACTTTACTATAGTGCTGCTTCCATTGTGTTTATAATAATAACAGATGCAAATAAGCCTTTGGCAGCATTAGAAAAAAGAATAACTTAGTTATTATTTAATATTCAACCCTGTCCAATCCAAGTCCAGTCTGTCAGTTTGACAGTGTAAACTAATACTGAGGATACTGAGTAAACACTAATTTACATACATTCTGCTAACACATATGATTCCAGTGAAGTCTTATTATGTTGTCAGTAACACAGTAATCCAGTTTCCACCTTCATCTTATGCCCCAGGTAGTGAAGACCTAAACTCTGTGGTATTCTTCATAGTGAACGTTTCAATAATTACAGTGTGATGAGAAAAGGTTATGTGTGTTATAAACACATTATTACTGATCCTCTAATAACCACTACAGGTGCATGTGTTCGCTTGTTGAGTCAGTTATTTGTTCACAGCAGAGGATGTATTAAAAGGGGGAGAGGGCCCACTCGAACCAGATTTGTGTTTTACACCACTGCCTTTATGCCTTTATGTAACATTTATTTGGTGCAAATAGAACAGTGAATTTCTTATAGGCAACATGTGTGCTCCATATTCAAAAAATCCTTCATCAATGCTCGGTATTTAAATATAGTAAAATACAATCCTACAATTGATTGTGAAATATGATTTAATATGTATTACACACATTATACTTTACAGTTATTCCAGATACTGTACTGTACTGATATTGTTTGACTTACGTTTCCAGTCTACCATTTCAGAGCAATTTCAAAGTGTAAAATATAAATTATTTACAAAAATCAAAGTGGTACAGGGACATATAAAATTATGTCTGTGGGTGTTGGAATTAATCTGGTCTTAAAATATAATATGATACATTTTACATAGGTATAAAAACTATTATATACCACTGCACCACTGATCGCTACAAATACATGCATAATGGTGACTCAAATTCCTTCACATATAACTGAAAAAATCATTATATATTATAATTATTATTATTATATTAAAATTAAAACATCAGTAATAAAAGAACATTTTTTTGATGAAAGTAATGATAAAAAGTTTACCTGCTCACATGTTAAAAATTATATCACATAACAGACCAGCCCCCTCTTAAGGGTCAAGATGCTGCCCACAGCAGTGACCCCTGTAATCACAAGTATTCCCAACGAAGACCAGCGGCAACCACAACATTTTTTACAAATAAACCAAAACAGGAAGAGGATACCTGCACCCTGGCTGCTGGGGTCATCATCAACACTCCACTTCAAACCATTATCATTTTCTTCTTCTTTTCTTCTTCTTCATTAACTCTATTGGTTATCCATCTTTTGTGTCATAATAATAACAACAAAAAATATAATAATAATAATAATATTAAGGCATTTGTTTATTATGGAAAATATACCAAAATATATTTTGAGGGGTTTATTATTATTGTTTTATTATTATTATTGTTATATCACAAGTCTATGTAGTCTGTCTGTTGCAGTTGTTTCACAATAAAGTATTTAACACACTGTATTACAGACAATGAGACATGAGTGGATAAATATAAAAAAGGTGACTGAGTTGATGATGAACAAGGATGAAAATAAACATATTAAGTCTCTGTCTCAGCTGAAAGATGCTCTGCTCTCCTCCTGCTCCTCTGGATCACAGCTACTACGACAACACAGAGCTTCAGCAGCAGACTACTGAACACTGAGGATCTCACTGCGTAGAAGGCGGAGTACATCCCAATGAGCTCCCTGTGCTTTAGAAGAGTTTTGGTTGTTGACACACACTGAAAATCTGGGTCAATGACTACGCAACCCAGTACTCCCCAGTGTCTTCCAGTGAGACATTAGAGATAACCAGGCTCGTATTAGAGTGGAATATGTTCATTTTACTTGTCAATGCTCTTGATGCAGTAAAAATTCGGACTCCTGTTTTGTTTGATTTCATGAACCAAAAGTGCACCATGCCCTCCCCCCAGCTATCTCTGCAGCTGAGAGTCACTTCATCTCCTTCTGAGAAGACCTCAACAGCTGGTGGGTCAAATTTGGGGCACACAATCATAAATGTCTTTGTCAGACTGGCTTCACAGGTGTATAAACTTGAGTGATTTAATGTTTGACCCAGCTCTTGGTCCACTGCATACCCATTCTGCTGCTGTTGTCCTTGATCAGAGTTGGAGAGTCTTTTGAAATTGAGCTTCTTCCAAAGTGCGGCCTGGTCATCACTAAAATCATTTACAGCGCACTGCAAAACAGCTGTCTCCTCTACTAAGTGGTACATTATCTCTGGTGCTGGGAACACGAGAGCAGGCTGACTGCTAACACACTGCTGTTGCCTCCTCATCAGACACATATACAATTTAAAGTCTGTTATTGTGAAGTTAGATACACGAAGTGCCGATGTGTTTTTCACCACGTGGAATCTTCCTTTAACATCGTCCATCACTGATGTCCTACCGTCCCCAAAGACTCCAGTCCACATGTCTGTCTCAGATCCAAACTCCAGCTTTAGCCACTTGACCACCAGACTGTCAGCTGCTCCCTCACATGGCAGATCCACTATTCCTCTGACACTTGTTGGAATATGTTTTATCTGGCGTATTGTACTACAAATGGTAACGCTTATGTTTTCCTCATGTGTCACTTTGCCCTCGGTCCAGCACAGCTTTTGGTACAGGCCGGAGTCTGAATGCATCAGGTTGTTGATCATATAAGAAGAAATATTATAAAGTTGGTTCAGGCCTTCAGCTGCTGTTGAATTCTCTGGCCAGAGGCCAGAGGTGTTCCACAGGACAAGTGTCTCCTCACTAACAAACCTAGAGACCAAGCAGAGGTTGGCCGAAGGTGTAAAAGCCCCTCTCCTCTCTGATGACAATAAATTCCTCTGCATGACTATTTCTGATGAGATTAAACAGCAGGAAGAAGAGCTCTGCGACTGCAGCCACTCTGCTCCAAGGTCCCATTGCAAGTGTGGTGCAAACACTGACACTGCTCACCTCTTATGTTCATCCTCATCAGCAGGTTCACGGTTGTGGTTGGAGGAACATGTCATCATGGGAGACTTTGAGAAATTAGGCTCTGTATCAAATAATCTACGTCTCCTGGAAATGTTAGGTCAAAAGGTTAGCAGGTATAACGTTTACCATCTTCACCATTTTAGTTTAGCTTGTTAGCATGCTAATATTTGCTAGTTAGCACTACACACAGAGTGCAGCTCAAACTGTCAATTTTGATCTGATGATAGTGCAAGATGAAAGGTCAATTGATCAGTTTATTCTCTGGGAAACATATCTGTAGATTTTAATGACAATCCGTCTGATATTTGTGGAAGCATTTCACTTTAAACCACAATCATCGACCTCAAGGTGATGTTAGAGGAAAAGTCAGGGGATTGACAAAGTCATTAGGCTTCATCTTGTTTCAAATATTTTTATTGTGAAGCATAAGCATCCATTTTTACTACAGGTCATCATATGGAAATATTGCCTCAAGTGAACTATAAACAAATAGCAAAAAAGCTGGGTAGAATATATCAAAGCTCAACCCCTTGTTCCAGATGGCATCTGCTATTTCCATCCCGTGTTCTTTCTCCCAGAAATGAATACATTTAAAGTGTGAGGTAGGATTATATAGAAAGTGTGATGTTTATTGAATTTTCCAATTAAATGCTATGTCTACAGTTTCAAATGAAACTTTCTCTTGTGTCCTTTAACAGCCTGTAGTGCATTTACACTCCTCCTCCTTTGCTGTGATTTGTGCTACATTACAATTACAGAGCTGTTGTTATGATATTTTTGTTGTAGTGTATCACAGGCATGTTTTCTGTTGTTGTCCAAATCAGTTAGAAACAGTTATCTTACAGTCACCCACATGGCTCATATCAAAGGGGTCCTTTAGATGTAATGTTCATAAAGTAAAGACAGAAGCAAAACAGATGCAGAGATTTCCTTTTACTATCTAGTTTAAGTCAAGCTTTAAGAAGTCCTTGCAGAAGTCCCTGTGGTATGCCTCTTTTGTACATGTTAACATCCATTTGCTTGTATATTCTGTATATTCTTTTGTCATTGTATGTGTTTTTGTGTTGGTTGATACGTTGTTTGACATCTGTGTAATTCCAGTATGAAAATCACAGTCTGCTCTGTGCAAAAAGGCACTTCATTTAATGTGTCAGCAGTCTGAGTTAACTATATGAAGTTGGTATTTTCCAAATGTTGCAGTCTTTTCAGTATGGTATTTCCTCATTGCACTTCCACAAACAGTGTGTCCTTGCTGAGAGATGATAACACTGAAAAGACTTTGGGAAATACTCACTTGATTTTTCAAACTCACACTGATAGGTTCAGATGTGAGAAAACATTTTTGTACTTTTTAGAAATGGAACAAAGCTGCCTGTAAGAAAATTAGTGAACTTATATTTGTTGGGCAACGATACATCACCAATGTTTATGTATTTCTTCACTTTGCCTTCCAGTGTGAGGCAGCTCAGTTTACACTGCAGAGTCCATGGAGTTCTTCACTCTCACCACCAGAGATTGCTGTCTCCATGTGCTTCATCTCATTTAGTTCTTATGTCCTCACGAACATAGATCCGTTCTCCTGGTTTAACAGTACATGCTGATTTCAGGGATTCACTTACACAGAACAGGCACTGTCTAGGCACTGATCAGGTGGAATGGAAATCAAAATTTGTTCTAAAAAGGTTTTCCATGAAGGAAATAATTTAGCTTAATCAGGTGTATTTAAGTTAGTTGCAATTCCCGTTGTTCTGTTTCTGTTTGTCTAAAGTGGCAGGGGAATAAAAATATTAAAAGTAACTCAGAGTTTAATCCTAAATCTCACAACTTCTTTGCAATGAATTTGAAGTCTTCAACATTTGATAAAGGAATCAGTTATGTATGAACTGTTTTGTTTTATTGTTAGAATAAGTGTAAATGAGGCTATGATACTGAGTATAAAACTATATGCTAGACAGAATGATAAAGGGGGTATCTCCATCAGACATCTCACCCTAACCTCTAGTCATATTGGACTAGAGGGCTTTCCTCATGTACTCATTACCATTTAAAGTCAGTTTACCTCTCACTTGGATTTTCTAAGACATGGTGCAGATATTAACACATGCCACAGTCCAAGGAAATCAATTATTTTGATCCATCTCAGCCTGAGACATTGTGTTTTTATTTTTGCTGGACTACAATGAGGCAAAAATTACAAACAGTTGTAGTTTGTTGTCTTTTGTACCAAATATGATGCTGGCTGGAAATTTTTTTTTTTCCCACCTTTTCAATTTTTCCCCAAATGATTTACACATCATATGAAAAATAACACGGTTACACTTGTATAATTTGTAATTTGAGAAGTACGGTGGCCGGGAGAGCTAAACGCACTACAATTTAAGGAAACATGCAAATGGACAAAACCTAAACAAAAACGTTCATCAATTAGACAACACATGCGCTTCCAATACACACAACGCAACTAGTAAGACAAACACGTTGGGAGTAGCACCACACAACAACGTCACGCAAATGTTTCCAGGGGACACAAAAAAGTGATGAACTCGGCTGGGACGCGCTGGTTGGTTCAATCGGTTCGATCAAAGATGCTCTCTAACAAAGATGAGCCATTACATGCTGCGCCAATGGTAGGAAATTATACACGGTCTTCCGGTCTCCTGAGGGGCGTGGTCAGCTGGTATGAAACGTGACAGTAGTTAATATAAACAGGTAATTTATTACTTACCTGTCTGTATCCTTTGGAAAAGAAAAGAAAAGACTTAGACGTTGTTCCTGTTATCACGGACTATTGCTGCAGAAAGGATGCACATTTTAATTTACACTAACTGATATTTTCTGAATTGTCTCTGATATTACTTTTGTCATAATATCTGAATCATGGGATGATGATGTTAAGAAAATAGCAGTGAACCAGACTGGGTTCATCACTTTTTTTATCTCCCCTGGAAACACTTCCTTTGTCGTCTGTGCTACATGCAGCGTGTTTCTGTATTTGTCTATTTGGATATTGAGTTGTGTGCTGAGCTCAGAGACATATGCAATCATAGGCTATTTTACTGGATAATATATACATTTTCTTCATTTTAATATATGTTCAATATGACATGTATTATTACTGTTGCCCATGGAGTTAAACTCATACACATCACAATCTCACATTTTCTTATTTTGATATTATGGTTATTATTGCTGTGAATTTTATTTTGAATCTATTAGTTTCTCATCACATTTATGTAGTCAAGTTATTTTCTTATTTACTCATTTAGTTGTTTTTTGCTTTTAAAAATAATTTTGTGATATTTCAACATTACTTAGGTTGAGGCTTTAAATAAGCTCATTGGGGTTTTTCCTTCCCCCTGCACTGTATGCTGTATTTGTTGTGTTTGTTACTGTATTTGTATTTGTAAGTTAAATTGTGCAAAAATAAAGAAAACAAAAAAACTATTAAACCCCCCCCTAATATATAGATCACATTATTATTATTATAATTATTATTATTGTTATTATATATTTATTTCCGTATTCATTATCTGTGTTTTGAAAATGTATGAAATGGTATGTAAAGTGGTGAATTCTTGATGAATTCTTGATTGATGACCCCTCCCATCTCCTCCACCACCCCCCAACCCAGTCTCTGCCGGCGAGCTACGACCCGCCCCAGAATTCGAACGGACATCTACACCAACCAATCGGCGATGGGTGAGGCTGAACGCTGACCAATGGTGTGTCCGGAGCTGCCTAAAAAGGGGCGGGTGTTTGTGTGCAGCAGGCTTCTCTGTGCCTGGCTAACAATAGCCGGGGATCGGCAAGTTTAGACCACTGTTATTAAGACCAAGAGGGCGACAGAGCGGAGAGGAGCTGAGCCGAGAGGAGAGCAGAGTTTGCCGAATACATGAGACGGTGTGTCCCGGTGTCGGAAATTATCACCCAGCATTCTGGAATTTACATTAGCCTCCAGACAAGTGGTGAGTTTGCTTTTCGACTTTATTTCTAAACCTCAAATTCATCCTTTTATCTCCATTCTCAGCCAGGCATGGTGCGTTGTGAATGAGGGGCTCATTTGTCTGTGGGTAGGAAGGGGTTAATGGTTACTGTAGGCTGGGATCGCACTATTATTCTCTTTTTCTTTATCTACATCCATGTATGAACGCAACCGGACCCCGCAGGCCCTTCAGCCCGCACACAACGGGCTTGAAGTCCGCCGCGGCGAGTCGCAGGAGGATGGTGTGATTATTTTTTTTTTATTATACCGGTTTCCTCCCAGTTTACCAGTAGGCTGTGATAACATGGGTGTTTTTGCTGGCGAATTTATACCACGACAGTCTAAGCGACAGATGAATGAATGAATGAATGCACAAATGAATGAATGAATGAAATCCTGCCAGTTTCTACTTTTCCATCTCTGAAATCTATCTCAAAGGATACCTCTAACATGATTCATCAGAAAGTCCATGCCATGCCCAAAGCCCTTTTGCTGTAGTCTAAGTATAGACAGACACTCCTGCTCTCATCCTGCTGCAATAATTTTACTTTGAAGTTGATTTTTGAGATTTTATCTGTAAATAATCTTAAAACAAACAAGTGATCAATCTTTAATCCACTCAAGTTTCATAAATTAGTCTATAACGCGACCAATGTGTCTGCAGTACTTCCCATTCCTATCACTGTAAATTTAGTTGCTGTAAACCTTCTTCTCGTTTTCTATCATATGTGCACAGTAATCCTTCTGAAATGCACTGAAGCTCTAGTTTCCACATGGCTCAGCAGAAATCAGTGCCCTCTCTTGTCCTGGAGAGTTCAGTCAGTATTTAGTGAATGTGCCAGTAGATTTGTGGAGGTTTCGTGGCTTTGGTAGGTCAGACAGTGTGTAGATCCGCTGTGTCTCATTGATTACCCACAGGCAGATAACTCTCATTTGGCATTTTCATCAGCTTCAGGAGTTAGTTCCCTTCTCACTACTGCCCATACTCATCCTTCAAACTCACTTCTGACTCTGCTGGATAAATAAACTCATTTCTCTGTGTCTGTATTTCTGTCACTTTATAAGCTACAGCTTTTCTCTGACTGAGTCAGGCTGACCTTGCCCTTTGCTCCCTCTTGTTATAAAAAGTTTCTCTTTCATCTGAGTGACCAGGTTCCTGGGAAATGAAAAGCTGTGAGTGTGTGGAGCTCATTAAAGCTGTTTGATTCAAAGTGGTTTGGCAAAAAAACAACACAGCTTCAGACTCAGTGTAAAATCTCTTTAACACACATGCTTGATGCTGATTGAGCAGTGGGTTTCACACCTGGATCAGGGGAGAGAGTGATCAGCCTCTTTTATCTGCTGTTAAATGGGAAGTATTTGCACTCACTTAAATTACTGCAATATTCAAGGTTTCCTCAGAGTTCCCCCACCTCAGTTTGAAGACCTCTGCTGTAAGGTAAATGTGTGTGAATTTCAGTGGGGGTAACTATATGGGTGATTAGTGTGTATACAGACGGATCACGACTCAAACTACAGGCTGTAGACTAGAAAAGTGAAATAGTCTGTAGCAGAATATTAATTTTATTCAACAATTGATGACAGAGTTAAATTATTGATGATAATGATGTTGGTTCAAAATCTACTTTTTCAAGATAGTCTGGCCTAATTTACATTTATGATGAGTCAATTAACACTTGTTACAACAACAACAACAACATCAACAACTGTTCTCTGACTTTTGATCCACCAGGTGATTAATCCAAGACAGACAGTCAGTCAGACAATTATCAGCAGATTAGTTGATTTGCTCTTTTTTTTTAAATGAGGATAAAACCATGTTTTATACACCATGAAGGTGACAGTTACACCTAATGTTAATGTAGCTGGGTTTATTTTATACATATTTAAAAAATTGGGATGTTTGGGATCTCCACTTACTGTTGGTGTGAAGAACGCCAAAAGTGAGTTTGTAAAGAAAGACCCTCTGGTGGGTCTGTGTGAGTGAAGATGTTTCAAAAGTCTCTGTATCCAAACAAGTGCAGTGCACAGCATGAGTCTTTGTGACTTGAATTATAGAAGTTAACCACGAGGGCATCAGCCCTCAAATGAGCCAGTGACGATGAAGGAAGTCCACTTTTCCATCTCAAGTGTTTAGTGCAGTGAACAGACCCGCTGACCGCTCACACTGGATCAGAAACAGGAATGAAAACTCTCATTCACGTCTTGATACACAAGCGTTCCTTGTTGATTAAAACCCAGTTATAGCTGAAGTTGACTACCTGAAAAGGTGAAATGGACTTCCTGGTTTGGCTGAGTGGCAGCGGGTTGAACTCATGGATAGGGTTATGGTTTAAGGGCAGTGGTTGCCATGGAGACCTGGGTGTGGCTAAAGGAGTGTTTTATGGTCTCATGTGAAGTATGAGGCCACCCAGTTGTCGCTTTGACACCTCGACAGAGAGAGAGAGGAAGGCTAGGAGGAGTTAATGACCCATCTGGCTCCTGTGGCTTTGGGCTTGGCTACTTCAGGAGAAAGAGGACTGGCTGTGTGTGTGTGTGTGTTTGTGTGTGTGTGTGTGTGTGTGTGTGAGATACACAGACACACATTAATTTCCGTATGATTTCCGTCATTTATGAATTGGCAGGCAGATAATGAGAGGTCACAGAAACAGTGACATTGATGAGGATGGAGTTTAGGGAGGACATGAAGAAGTACTGTCAGCTGGCCTCAGATTGTATCAGGAAACCCATGTGGTGCCGATGCTGCTGGCGTCGAGGGTGAAAAGAGCTCATAATGCTCGCACGGCAGGAATGGACTGTCCAGTTCGGTGTCCTCTGGATTCTGTCTCTGCTCTTTGTTGATGATGTAGCTCTGTTTAATTAATCAGGCTTTTTCCAGCTCTATGAAACTGCAGGGAAGAGAGTCAGCACCTCCCGGTCTGAGGCCCTGGTGCCTGCTCATGAGACAGAGAAAGATAAAGTGAGATTTTTTTCACTTTTCCAGAGAGTTAGATGAAAAGAATGATACAAATCACATGTATTTCAGTAAGTTTTAAAGGTGCTGGTCGCTGGATTTTTTTTTTAGAAGCAGGCTGTCCACACCTCCAAAATGTTGAACTTTTCCTTTAATTGGTCAGAGTCAGTGGTGTTGCTGGCATTAGGGGACTGCTGTGGTGAAAAGGGAGCAGAGCCTGGGAACATCAGGAACCCCCAGGAGGAAATGAAGATGTGGCTACATGGAAGGGTTTCTGTTGCACAGTTAGCTGCAGACATCAAACGCAGCTATTCACTGGCCGATTTCTACAATCGGCAAAGAACAAAATTGCGTATTAACATGGATATTTGTCTGCGGAGTGTAGACTCTCACTCACACCCAGTACCAACATAAATAGTAATATTGGCTGTGGAGCAGCCAGAAGCCTGCCAGCAGCTGAATAATGGATAGTCTGTCTGCCTGGAAGGCTGCTGGGGCTGCTGAGCACGGCGTCTAGACGAATACCGACAGCGCAAAACTACATGGACTCCCCTCTCCTCTCCACGAAACAGGCTGACTGGCTGGATCCAGATAAAAGCTGTGATCCTGGATTGATTTGACGTATTTTATCTACTTCATTGATGTGAAGGCAGATGAAAGGAAGGGTGATGGTGCATCTCTAAGCTGTTAATAGTATGGTTCAGGATCAGTCCTATACTGTTGGTGTAATTATGATTAGACCCGGAGAGAGGGTTGAAACTTTCCACTTGATTAGCACTGGCTCAGTTCAGTTTTATTAAACCAGGAGTCAGAGCTCTGGCTGAACACAGAGCTCACCACGGGAGAGGAAAAAGCTTTTACTGATGGAGCTCCGTTCAGGGTTAACATCAGCGTAATTTAATTTGTTTTCTGTCAGCACTGATCTGTCTGAGTGTATTTGTTGCAGTCAGAAGCTCTTACTGTCTGTTGTACCACAGGTTTTCTCAACCTACAGAAAGTCATCCATTTATAAACCTCCTATAATGTACCTCCACGGGGACATCCACATAATACGTTTTCATTTTAAAACAGTGTTTGAAAGCGAATCGATCTCCGTCCAGACGGGCGTTTTTGCTCCGTACCAGAAATAATCTGTCCATACTAACACACCTGAAAACCATATCACATGACCATTCACGTACACTGAGCACTGTGTGTGCTGGGGTAAACAGGAAGCAGATTGTCTACTCTGCAGTTGGTTGCTTAGTTATAGAAAATGCTACAAATGAGGAACAGCAAAGGCCAAAAGTAAGAGCAGGGATTTCTTTGCTTGGACCGATGACGACTTGGGACAGTTACCGCCTCGCTCGCTCGCATTAGTGGTGACTGTCTTTTGTGGAAGGTTTGTCCAAAAAGTTGCTAGATTAATCGCTAGGTGCTTTGTTGGAAAAAAAAATTCTTCAAATCTAGGATAGAAACTGTTCGTGTCAGTTCATTGTGAAAGAGCAACGGCCATTTGGGAAACTCCAATGCTCTACCAGCCGACCAATGGTGTAACTTGATCACTCAACTCTTATCACTCAGTCAGTCACGGACATTTGCCTTTATACTAGGACTGGCGCTGCTATTATGGTTTAGCCAGTAATATAAAATATAAATTAATGAAATAATAATCAGTGTTCAGTGTTCAAAATACTTGTTGTTCCTTATTTTCCACAAGCTTCCTCATCCAAGAACCAGGGCCCCTGGGTAAAAACGAATCAGTTTGTAAGCCTGAATAGTTGACGTGACATGAATCAAAAAGATGAACGGGGAGGTTGTGACCCCCCTACGTTGACGTGACACAGTCAGTTTTAAGAAGACATAGCTCCCTGTTGCAGAGAGCACCTGCAAATTCAGCGAGAGACAAGTTTAATTTTGGCTTGTTGGAAAGTTCCTCACTGAATGACCGTTAATTAGTGGCAGCTGATATGAACTGCCGCCGCCACCGTTTGTCATTTTAACTGACAAAAGCGACAGGCAGCTCCAGCTGCCAGACAAATGCTTTGTAC